TTAAAGGTCCAATAGGTGATCTGGGAAATCTTTAGCCTGCTAGCATTGAAAGCATATGATCCCACCCTCCCTGGAAATCGCCGTCCAAAGCTAGCCTCCTCCAAAACACTTGAACACACACAGACCAGAAGAGAGACAACCAGAGACAATGTTATTGGATCACATCATGTGTCATTCACCGATGAGAAAAATTTACATTACAGTGAGGGGAGAAACAGAAGCGCTTTTTATATATCTACTCCATCTATGTTTTTAACATCGGTCTGAATCAGATCTAGATGTAGTCTTTGAAAAAATGTTTTTTTTAAATAAAACTTTTGGTAACACTTTACTTGAAGGGGTGTGCATAAGACTGACATGACACCTTCATAATCATGACACATGCCATGAATATGAAGGAGGGTTTATGCATGTTTATGACAACTGTCATTAAGTGTCATTCGCTCAATTATGACATTTTTAATGGAAATATGACATTGTTTGAGATGTCTTTGTTATAACACTTTGACATAAACCAATACATCATAACCTGTCAGTGTATTTGTCATGACAACTGACATTACTAAGACAACACAACCTGTCATAAATATGTCATAAACATGACATAGCAGATTTATTATCAAACTTTAGAAAGCACTTAGCTTTATGGGTTAACATTACATTAAACTGTCATGTGGTTGGTTTTGACATTGGCTGTCATGAGACCATTATAACATTTTAATGACAAATTCAATTTGTACCACTATAGTTGAGGTCAAGAAAAATATTCATGACACAGTTATAATGGCCTCATGACAGCCAATGTCAAAACCAACCACATGACAGTTTAATGTAATGTTAACCCATAAAGCTAAGTGCTTTCTAAAGTTTGATAATAAATCTGCTATGTCATGTTTATAACATATTTATGACAGGTTGTGTTGTCTTAGTAATGTCAGTTGTCATGACAAAGACACTGACAGGTTTAGATGTATTGGTTTATGTCAAGGTGTCATAACAAAGACATATCAAACAATGTCATATTTGCATTAAAAATGTCATAATTGAGCGAATGACACTTAATGACAGTTGTCATAAACATGCATAAAACCTCCTTCATATTCATAACATGTGTCATGTGATTATGAAGGTGTAATGTCAGTCTTATGCACACCCCTTCAGGTAAAGTGTTACCAAACCTTTCCATATTCAAGTGTTGATAAAACAAAAGAATGCATAAAGCTAGAATCATTTTTTTTTTAAAGCAGAGGGTCTGTTCTTTCTTTTGATATATTGCATGTTTAGATATTCATACAACAAAATATTCTGGCGGCCATGAAACTTTTGTGAAAAAGGTAAAAAAAATGCTTTGGGTGGCTGGCAACTTTTTTAAAAAAATGCTGCCTGGCGGTGAAAGAATTAAAAGCCTCGGCCCCCTTTCATTGCATTTGCAACAAGTACAGTTTGTCAAAATGTATCCTTTTGTGTTCCACAGAACAACCTGAGGACGAGTAATCATGACAGAATTGTCATTTTGATAAAGTAATTCTTTAAGGCTAATGCCAGTCCATGCTTGTACTAAGCTAAGATGAAAATATCTCTAACCATGACAGGAACGATCATAGTGTACATAAATGTAAGACCATGCCATGTATAATACAAAATATAAAAATATTCTATTAAATAATATAAATATACTGATTAAAACATTAAAAGATGCAGGATATGCATTCTCTAAGCTGTATTTGTGCAGACACGGAGTGAACCTGAGACTCTCGTGTTACTGTAAGTGATCATCACAGTGTGGCTGTATTGCTCTGGGTCCAGATTTGCTGCAATTTAAAGAAGATAAAACTACTTTCAATTATGGGCTCCATATTAATGATCCAATTTGCATGAATTACATGGGGTTGCCAGGCATGTTTGGCTTATCTCTTTCTGCACTCTCTCCTACAGAATTAATAATGGGTAACCCTGGGCTCTCCCTACAGAGGAAAGATATTGGCTATCAATAGCTGAATCTGGGCGAGATATACTCTCTTCCGATAGAGACTTTGATCACTGGGTTTTGATGCCTGAGGCGTTGCAGAATTATCTGTTAGTTAATGAGATTATTTTGACGGGTTAACCAATGATGACTGCTAATAGATTTTTATTTTTATTTTACAACACTTATTTGGAAACCCAAACAGCATGCAACCAAGGAGTAGTGATATCAATACATGATTTTATGACATGGTAAGTATATATTTTCCCATCAAGTACATACTTTTTCTACCCAGATCTATGTTCTTTAATGTGCATGTTGAGTAAAAAAAAAATTAAAAAAAATTAAAAGGAAAATCATCATCATCATAATCATCTTCATTATAAAGAAAATTAAACCTTTTATTTATTTTTGAATCCAATTATTGTCAATGGTCATTCTCATTATTTCAATACCGACATTTTAAATGATGTTTTATAAACAAGGTTCGGGAGGAGCACGTTCAAATAAATCATTCCAATCAACTCGTCACCAAACTATTACATGTCTACCCTATCAGCACGAGAGGAAGCATATATAAATATCCACTGTCAACTCACCTAACATTCCTTGACAGTTTCAGCATCCCTCCACCACCCCGACTCCTCACTCCTGGCTCATTCTTCCACAGTCAGGAACGGGGGAGTACTATGGGTTTGGGCCGCATACCGAGCCCGGAGCCCTCTCCTCGGACAGCACGCCAAATATGCATTTATTCTATCTGACTTATTTGTAAGTGTGAACTAGTGAACTGTATTACCAAATACTGCCATGATCTTTGAATACTTTGTTGTTAAAAAACGTTTTTTTTTTTTTGAGGAAGGAAATATTTTCGTGCATGTCTCTTTAAATGCAAATAAGTTTCTGCTCTCCACCCCGTTTTCCAGAAGAGGGTGAGGCCTTTACAACTCGAGCCTCCTATACGCTGCCAAAAACGAAAACATCTGTTTGCTCTTGATTATCATCTTTATCGCGGTCATGCTCACCTGACATTGCAGTTCTTCATCATCATGAAAGTTTATTATCTGCATGCATTTTAAAGCCATATAAACTTCTGATATATGGTTTTCTGAGCGAACACATGCAAAGCACGCGCACAGAAAGCTGGATGTCAGACAGCGCATCCCGTATTAAACTAAGTTCTCTTTCACGTCTTATTGCGCTAAAAACTATCAAATACACACAAGTTTATGTAAAAAACACACAAAGTTCACATAAACACAGTCGGTTATGTCTGTGAACGTAAACAGCAAGTAAAGAAATCGCATGTGTATTAGATCTTTGTATTAAAGTGAAAGCAGCGTAATATACTATTATGCTATATGCTATATTAATAGCATATAGCATGCGCATGCTATATGCTATTAATCAACAACAGAAAAACAGAAAATAACTCACTGCTCTTGATTTAATAACTTTAGTCGCTTTAATAAGAAGAAATTTCTCACTTGAATGCTGCTTTTAAATGCTCTGGCGAGGAGATGAACATGAAGGACTGTGTACAGCTATCCTAATAGGGCGGAGTCTGTCAGCAGTTGTGGGCGGGGTCTAGGCATTTGTGATGTCACAACAGCTACAATCGGCTTGTTCTGAGACACTATTTATGATGAATGGGGATTAAAAAAAGAGGAATGGGTGGATTTTTACCATTATAGGGTGGCTGTGTACTCACACGGATTTTTTGTTCAAACACCATGTAAAAATTTTGCATAATAGGTCCCCTTTAATATTTATAAAACATACTTAATATTTAATATGCAAATATATTATGTCTTGTTTATTTTTTATTTTGGGATTATCCATACACAAACGATACATATACATACATGCTTATGCTTTCCTCTCATCAATATTACATTAGGAAGGGTCTCTCTGCCCTCACTGTGGAGATTTGATGTAAGTGGACAAGATCCTTCACTCATTCTGGAACACACAGCAATTAACAGCTTAAAGAATCCCCATTGTGCTCTAAGATACACTAACACACAAGGAATCAAAACATGAGATTACGTTGTCAAATATGAAGTAACGTCTAACAGAAGCTAGCCTGATTATGGAAGCCTGCTGGGGTTGAGGAGGGATCTCTCCTCATGTGGGAGCTTCTCTGCAGCATTTCCTCCGTGAACAGTGGATCTTCTGCAGCAGAGACGCTCATGTGATTAAAATCTGTTGCAGACACCAATGCAATGGGAATAGCTAGGCTTCTCCTGGTGCAGTGTTTATTCTCAGAGTAAACATCTGCAGAAATGCTCATAAGTCTGAAGGCTTTTGAACAGACTGAATACAGGAATTGAGGAGATAATTTTGAAGGGCACACATGAGTGGAATGGTAAATGGAGGGTAAACCGTTCATAATTATATCTGTGGATTTGCAGCAAAATACTGGTTTTAGTTAAATTATATATATTTATATACTGCTTGTATTCAACAAACTGGGTTGAATTACCTGACATCTATTACTGAACTAATCTAATGACACACGAAAACGAAATATTTAGATTAATATAATAAATAGACATGACGCAAATGTGAGAATAATAGCTAGCTTACAGAATACCAGAAGTGTATATTGTCATTTACTGTGGATCTACAGTGACCAAAAAATAATAATAATTTGTAAAGGAATACATACTGTAGCAACACAGCCTACTGTAAATAAAGAGAGATAATAGTAAAAAAAAAAAAAGCCATTGGAAATCTACTGTAATTTGTAACCAGCAGCAAAATGGCAACTACAACATAGCTCAACAATAAATAATTACTAATTTATCTGTTTCACAGATAAGCAGAATAAGCCATTTTCAAATCCTAGCATACAGAATATAATATAACATAATAAAATACAGTCACACGAATACAATCCTGGTGCTTTGTTTACCCTGGGCTGTCAGGCTCTGAAGCTGCGCTCGTGATGAGGACAGAGACGAAGCTCTTCATTACTGGAGGAATAAAAGAGGGATAGTAATATTTCAGAAGGAAGGGAGGAGATTTGCCGACGGCTCCTATTGGTTTAGTGCAACCGTGATGGCACTTGAGGTGACGGCTTCGTACTTTATAAAGCTCCCTCAGAGTGAGGAAACACTGTGAACTCCTTACAGCTGAAGTGGCGCTGAGGACAACCCGTGACATAACACTGAACCATGAGTGAGGTAAGTGCACCTCCAGCTTTACCGCGTACAGGCGACATTTAAACCTGCCATAAGAGCAGATTTTGATCATAAAATATGCATAATGGATTTACTCATATTGATTTCTTTTGAGCGCAGGAGTGTGTTGTGAATAATCGCTCAGCGCACTTTAATTCACTTTAGCTTTGCCGATAGAACTGTGTGTTTACTTGAATGAACTTGGCTGTTTCATTTGACGAAGACTTCTGAAGATGGTGCACTCACTGTACCATAACACATCATCACATTATAGGCTAATTAAATAAATGTCCATTTTCTGTATTTAAACTGCATCTATCTAAACATAAAGGCTACATTTATACACTACAGTGTTCGTAGACACGTTTTTATCTACACAAAGGCATTGGGTATTTCCACTGTCATTGCCCTGGAGAAGTGGCACAGTTCATTAAACACACAGTGACCTTTTGCAACACCATCACTCAATAGCAGTGCATGTTATCGCTGTGGGAGCCTGCCATTAAAAAGCACATTACAGGATAGTTAATGCCAGTTCAGCAAAGTCTGAACAGTAACCGAATAATGAAGCACTAACCAAATCATCAGGAGCAAAACATGGAACATGCAGAACATCAAACATTGTTTTTGACAGACAGATTTCGTAATTAATAAATTAATTCATTTATAAAATGTTTAATTCATGCGATAGCTTGCCCCAATGTGACATTTATAAAAAAGTACACAGCCCGACCTTTTATTGAAATACAGTTGAGCCTTAATTGCCTTAGTAATGTAGGATATGCCACTGTGGTTTTACGATGCAAGAGTTTATAATATTGTCACAAAAATATGACAGTCGTGGAATTTTTGTTGCATTTCTTGAAACATTTGTTCTCTAGATATTTGAAACCAAAATGTGCAAGACTTTTGACTCAAAACCTTATAAATACCAATATTGAGTCTCCCAATTATAGAATAGCAGAACAAGATTAACTAACCTGTGTTAATTTTTTGATGATCTGTTTAATTTGACGGTTAAATGCATTCTCTTGCCGCATACTAGTGGATCGCAGGTCTGTTGGAAACATAATGCTAAATGCGAATAATAAAATCGTGCATAGGCTGGGTTTATTTGGATACAAAACTATCACTTTTAATGTGTAATTTTGTATGTTTGGGTTTAGCCTATAGTTCCTGGTAATATTTCGGTAACTTTGTACGATAAACAAAACACCACTTGTGTCCAATGTAAAATCTAAGCCCTGAAGCAAAGTTTCTACAATTTCTACAAAAGTTTCTTTCTATTTCTACAAATAATGTTATTCTGTTGGCAAACCCTGGGCTGTTTCACTAGGAAAGGCTTTTTCCATCTTAGAATATCTGCTGGATTACCTTCTTCTGGACTTTTGCTTTGGATATTAGATTTTCATATTAGAAGGGCTGACAGCAGGTGTGTCTGTGCTTGTTGTGTTTGGTACAGGTCAGGATAATCTTAGAGATTTTCTTACAGTAAATAGTTGCTAAATTTCCAGAGAGGAAGTGCTAATTAACTTCAAAGTCGTCTAGAAGCGGTGCTGTTGTGGCGTCTCTCTCCAGCGACATGAGCTATAGGTGTGTGTGTGTGTGTGTGTGTTTCCTTGTCATTATTTTCTGTGGCCTGCAGTGCTTTTGAACATGATGTGCCAGATGTAACAGAGAGGGATGCTAATTATGAGAGAGGAAATTAGCATAATCTCAGCCCTGATTTAAGCAGTCAGGTCATTACCATGCGTTCAGTTTGCTTCAAAGTATTAGAGCGTTTAATATCTAAAGAAAAAGACCAATTACTGCGAGAGCTGTGATCAAACACCATATGCCACATCTCTGCGGCTTCTTCTCTTTTATTCTGTATTTTCTTGTAGGAAATTTGGTAGTGAAAAGATATTTCTATCCAGATATTTGTTGTAATAACGTTTCTCACTCGGCCCTGCACAGAACGCCTCTGGCTTTAAAAGGAATGTGAAATCTGAAATCATAATCTTTTTACTTTATCAATACATAGAACATTATTTAATTTAACAAATAAAGTAATTCTGTAATGAAAATGTAATAACTCGCACCAACTCCGCCACTATTCCCTTTTCAGGCTGTTGTGGGAGTGCGGAAAATAATATTAACCGATAAGTAAACAGCTATTAAGGCATTGTTTTAATTTACTATTTTAGATAATGTGGCCTTTGTAAACTGACTATATTTAACAAAAATGGTTTACAGATTAATTTAAAGTCAGGTGATGTAATTAGACTAGACAAAGGTTAATGTAATTAGGATTACAACAATGATAGCAAATAGCAAATTATGACTTTCATTAAAAAAGACTCATTCATTTATAATAATTTGCTTTATTAGTGAAATAGCAGAAATGCTACAAATAATTAATGACTGTACAAAATGATCTGAATTTAATGGTAAAAGACTGTAAAATGCTATGGTAAAAACCTGCTAATTGGTTAACAGTAAGTTCCCTTACAATATTCTGTGAAAAACTGTAATAGATCTAATGGGACAATTTTACAGTAAAATACTGCTAAATGTACAGTTTTTGGAAGAACGGGTCATCTTATCTGGTTTACAGTGTAAAAACCATAAATTGACATTCCCAGAATTCCCTGTGTGACAGCTCACATGTGATGTTTTTAATTTAAATAATTATGTTTCGTCTTTTAAATAATTATGTCAAGTCTTTTGTTATCAGTTATGAACATTAGGGTTTCATGTTAATAAATTAATGCTAATTGCATTATTTTAGTGTCATGCATGTTACCATTATGTTACCACATTATTTTTTAGAGTAAAATGTTAGCAAAATTTACTGTTTTTTTAATTGTAAATGTAATAGATTTTTGTATTTATTATATTTTTATATTATGTACAGCACACATACAAAAAGTTAGCATCAATCAATGGTAGTTAATAAAAAGTAATAGAATTGTATTGAAATATGCAAAACCTATTTCCGTTTTTAAGTCATTTAATCCAAAATCAATGAAATTTTGCTTCACAGTTAATTATTTTTTAATTCTGTTTTTCTGTCCACGTTGTTTGAGTTGTGGCACTAGGGCCGTGTGAATGTACTCATCACTTTAACAGAGCATGCAGAGCACACATTGGGGATAGATCAAGAGCCACACGACACATTTAATCTGATTCTGACAACTCTTGAAAAACTGCCCACATTACTCAATTCAAAATGGTCTCCTCGTCTCTCGTCTAATTCATCTCTGACCTCTCCACACAACACTTCCCTCACACTGGATTGCTCCATGACACTCAAAAGGCCTACTACATTTCTCCAAGCAACACGATTGTCTGGACTGTCGGGAATCTGATTGGACGTGTGTTGCCATGACCAAGAACGAGCTGCAGCATCCGAGCTCCCCGCGTTTGCCACCAACTTTCTTTGCCCCCTGCAACTGTCGGATGTGATTTTCCGTAAACAGAAGCTGTTTTCGTTCTGCTCGTTTGTTAGTGAACAGGAAGTCAGCTTTCATATTCGATTTGACAAGCATCTGTGCACTTAATGACACTTGTGACATTAACCTAAGATGTGAGTAATGGGACTAAAAGGAGGTGAAATAATACCCGAAAAAGTTAGTAGTCACAAAATTAACTGATGAGTGCTGCCAAAACCCTCTAAGGCAGTGGTTCTCAACACGGGGGGCCCGAGAGATCGGAAGAGGGGGGGCGCAAATTGTTTTCAAGAAAAAAACACAGACAGGGCATCATTTGGGTACTTGGTGTATTTAATTGCTTTTCAAGTAGAATGTACATAAATGAAGAAAAAAACCCGCTCTACTGAAGGACTCAAACAATTCGACTGTTATTTCAGGCTATGTTTACACGGAAACGATCTGAAGAGAAAACGCAAAAGTGGCGTTGCGTTATCACTTTTTATTCTGCGTTTAGACGAGCGTTATGGTTGGGAAATCCGCGTGCATATGGTGACGCAAAAGTGTGTGAAATTCGATGTAGTATGCACTCCAGGCATCTAGGTGGCAATGTGAAGCACTGCCACACAACAACACCAATATCTTAGAATATTTTGTACAACTGCTGAAAAGACTCTTGTATGTTTTTCAGAGCTGCTAGGGCAACTGGAAGGTCCGACGTATGGAAATAATCTGACATGTTGGTTGTTATTTTCCTGTACTGGCGCATGCATGTGATGTAAACGCGTACGCGACGAGAGCCACCGTGAGCAGATTTTACCGTTTAGACGGGAACGCGACGGTGGAGCGTTTTTAAGATTTCCACTCTGGAGGGTGGTTTCACTTTTTTGCGTTTTTAAGCCCCCAAAACGCCGTTGCCGTGTAAACGAAAGGCACATCCGATAAAATATTTTTACGTTTTCACCCGGAATCGTTCTCGTGTAAACGGGGCCTCAGTGAGGATTTCAGTTCATTTGCTTGGGTCAGAGATCCCTTCAGTTGCCCAGGAAAAGACCTTTCAGGTGACATGGAGGAGCAGTTAGTCGAATTAAAGAGCGACACCAGATTGCGACACCTCTAAAGCTCTTGCTCTCTGCTTTCGTTGTGGTTGAGTGTGATGACTGAATATCTGCAGTTGCCTGATGCCGCCATCAAATTACTTCTTCCATTTGCCTCAACTCATCTGTGCAAGGCTGGGTTTTCAAAATTGACTGCCTTGTAAACCAAGTACCAAAATCGGCTCCAGGGGGAGAATGACATGGTTTGCGCTGTCAAACAATTAACCGCGAATTGCATATCTTTGTAAAATGAAGCAAGCGCAGGTTTCCCACTGATTGATTTAACAATTTCATGGCTAATGAGATGCGCTATTTGTCCCAATTCACATAATTTAAATGCAAATGTTTTTAGAAATCTATCTTAGCTGATGGATAGTTGGGGCGTGCCACATGATAGGGTAGGCTTGGGGGGCTTTAGTTTGAGAACCCGCTCTAAGGCATGGACTCCACAAGACCCCTGAAGGTGTGCTGTGGTCTCTGGCACCAAGACGTCAGC